GTTCGGTTCGCTATTTAAAGGGGTTCTAAACCCTCCGTTTTTTTGCCTATATCTACTGCTAGCAAAAAAACGCTTGAACTGGTTTTAAACTTACCTCGTTATCGCTGCTCGCTCCCGCGCCGAGAATCAGGAAGTGATCGTACGGCCGCAAAGGATCTTGGGGCGGGCGCATGCGCAGTTCTGATTCTCGGCCGGGAGACGAGCAGAGACGCAAGGCAAGTCTATGGACGCGTGCACCCGCATGCAGACACAGCTGGATCGGAGAGACAGAGCAGTCAGCGCTGGATCGGAGTGACGCCGCACCGCTGGAGGGACACATGAAAACATGGGGAAAGAAGAGGAAGATCGGAATAAGAGACATCATTTGAGGTAAGTGCTAACATTTACATGGGGGGGAGGGGGAAAAAAATTGGCTTTAATGTCACTTTAAGTCACAAAATTCAAGATAAAAACATTGAAATGTTATCAAAAAATGTGGAACAAAAAATAATAGATGAAATCAAAGCAGCACCTTTTTCCATCATAATGGACACAACTCAAGATATAACCAAAGTTCACCAGTTAAGCCAAGCGTTATGTGACAATAGAAATGAATGACAACAATAGGCCCAGAAATGTTAAAATCAATGAAACGTTCTTAGGTTTTCTGCCAGTCTCTGACCAAACTGCTGCTGGTCTTGAAAAAGAGATTATTAAGTGCATTGAAGGGAAAAAACTGGATCTTTCGAAATGTCGAGGGCAAGGATATGATGGAGTCTACTCTGGAGTGCAAGCCGGAATTTGCAGAAGGGAACCAAATGCACAATATGCACATTGTGCAGCGCATAATTTAAGTCTTGCACTCAATGACTGGTAAGAATATACCAGAGGTGCGAAACTTTTACGATATCCTTGAAAGACTCTACACTTTTTTTTGCCAATAGTAGCAAACGTTGGGCAATACTGTCTGGGTTGGGAAGTTTGTCTGAGACAGCCGGTAATGTTACCTTAAAAAGGCTAATGTCCAACACGCTGGGCTTCCAGAAATGAATCACTTATTGCTTTAAAGTTACGATATCTTGATATAATGAAGGCACTCTCTAAAATGATGCTTATTAGTGAAAATAAAGAGGAATCTGATGAAGCCTCAAGTTTATTGAAGCTGTTAGGTAAATTTGAATTTGTTTTACTTGTTGTGCTGCAAACAAAGATTCTGGACACTATTGATCCGGTTTCCAAGTGCCTACAGTCTAAGGGCCTGTTCACACGACGTCCGTTTTGTGTGCTGACCGGCTCCGTACGCTGCTGCACTCAAAATGCATCCCAATGTGTTTTATGGGCTACAGTTCTCACGTGCGCAGTCCGTTCAGCTTAAGACAGAAAAAATACTGCATGTCACATTTTGTCAGGTCCGGAAACGGTCAGGATACGCAAACGCGTCGAAAACGCATCAACAGCCCCACTCCAGCAAAAAAAAAAAAAATGCATTAAAAACGCAGCCAATAACGCAATGCATCAGCAGCTCCACGTCTGCTGATCAGGACCTGATCTCATGTGAACAGGCCCTAAAGAAATGCATCTAGAGGCAGCTGCAAAACTCCTTTTGGAATGCTAAAGAATCGCTACAGCTGTTTAGAGCTAATTTTGAGACACTCAAAGACCAGGCTACGAAGATTGCTGAAAACTGGGGTGTTGATGCAAAGTTTGGAGAGAAAAGAAACCGCAGAGTGAAAAAACTGTCGGGTGAATTATGTGAGGACGAAAGACTCAGTGATCCGGAGAGAAACTTCAAAGTGAACACATTTTATGGTTGTTTGGATGTAATCCCGACTCGGCTAAACACCCGTTTTAAAAGTTTGGATGCAACCGTAAAAAAATGTCATGCAATCTTACCACAAAGTAGAAAAAGATGGGTCACCAGCACTCAAAATAATTAAAATGAATAAGTCCTTTTTATTGGACAATTGTGTCACGATAATCAAAAAGAGCCGACGTTTCGGGGCCACGCAGGGTCCCTTCTTCAAGGCAAAAGAAGGTCACAGTGCTGGTGACCCATTTTTTTCTACTTTGTGTTTTGCACGGTGCCATCCGTGGTAGTTACTTTGTTTATTGGCCGGGACTGCTGAAAGGTGTGCGGAGAGCACCCCCACCAACTGCAATGCAATCTTACCAGGCACCCGTTCCAATGTATTCCTATGGTATTTTTTGCTCCAGTTCACATCGCAGCGTGCGGATCTAGAGCAGGTGAAAAAACTGCGGCAAGCCCTATCTTACCTGCTCTGGAACGCATCAAAAACACATGCAAAACGCATCAAAAACGCATGCAAGTGCCTGAAAGCCCATGTTAAACTTTAAAAAAAAAAAAAATTTTTGTTAACCAAAAACGGCCTGGAACGCATCAAAAACGCGGCACAACCCACTGGACTGCGTGTGCAGAAACCTGACCGGATCTGCTCTGCATTTGGTGTGAACAAGGCCTCAGATCAGAGATCTCCAAACAATCTTCTGTGGAAGATTTATCCAAGTTGTTGATAATAGTGTTTTGTCATCTAGTTTTCCTGAAGTGTGTACTGCACTTACCGTATTTTGCGGTCCATAAGACGCACCGGACCATAGGACGCAGGGAGGCCCGGGCGCCTTATGGAGCACTCGACAGACTGTAGCTTCTGACACAGCTTCTATGACAGAAGCTGTGACAGAAGCTGCAGTTAGTGACCGCTGAGACAGGTGGCGCTGTGATTACAGCGCCACGGTCTCAGTGATCACACAGAGCACCTCCGTTCTTCGTCTGCTCTATGGTGATCTCGATCGTCGCCGCTGCTCGGTTTTAATACGAGTGATCTCATTAGATCACTCGTATTAAACAAGCAGTGGCTCCTACTACTCGCCCGGCGCCCGAAACTGCATGTCTCGGGCGTCGGGATTCGCTCCTTTTGGGGGGGGAAAAAGTGCGTCTTATGGAGCGAAAAATACGGTATGTTATTTCTTACCATTCCCGTTACAGTTGCAAGCTCTGAACGTTCCTTTTCTAAGCTTAAGTTAATGAAGAATTATTTAAGAAGCACAATGGGACAAGGAAGGCTTCACGGATTATCACTGTTATCAGTAGAAAATGAAAGGGCAAGGGGCCTTGACTTAGCAAAGATCATTGATGAATTTGCTGAGCGAAAAGCCAGAAGAGTAAAATTCAGTTAAGAAACAAGTCATAACCAACCAATAATATATTACTGTTCTGAACAGAATGTTATATCTTGTTTTGTTTTATAGTATATTTATTTTATTGTTACATTTGCTTACACTGAAACAGGGCTCAGATTTCTCTGTAATAAATAAATATGCTCAAATATTTTTTCCATCTATTTTTTCAACTTTATTTTTTTGTGGTTGCTTCAGGGGGTGTGGATTGGGGAGTTTGTGGGGGTTTTTTTTTGGGGGGGGGGAGGAGGGGGCCCCCCAAAAAAATCTTGCACCCGGGCCTTGTTCCTTAGGTCCGCCACTGAATGGCAGCCACCAATTTCTCCCAATAAAAGTTGATTTTAAAGAATAATCAAATCTTTATCTTTAAATAGAGTGTATGCAGTCCGGCTACATAACAAGTCAAGAACGTGTTGGGTCTCTTATATTATTGTTTGAGTGCTTTACTATATGAAACCGCCCAATGAACTGCGGCTGTGGTCCTCACAGTACTCCAGGAAACAGTGTTGTATGGACAGATGAGGAACTCTATAAACCAGCTTTTCTTAACCCGAGCTCTGTGGAACCCGAAATTTCTTCGAGAGGTTGCGAGGGGTTCCGGAGAAATTTCTGCCTCACATATAAGTAACCATTGACACCAATTATGTTTTTAGCTTTCTGTAAGGGGCAGTACCATTGACACCAATTATGTTTTTAGCTTTCTGTAAGGGGCAGTACCATTGACACCAATTATGTTTTTAGCTTTCTGTAAGGGGCATTCTTCACAGTGACTAGCAATGCAAGGAGGGCATCCTTCCTACTGACCACTAATGTAAAGGGGGCATCATTCTTATTGACCAGCAATGCAAGGGGGGCATCCTTCCTATTGACCACCAATGTAAGGGAGCATCCTTCCTATTGACCACCAATGTAAGGGAGCATCCTTCCTATTGACCACCAATGTAAGGGAGCATCCTTCCTATTGACCACCAATGTAAGGGAGCATCCTTCCTATTGACCACCAATGTAAGGGAGCATCCTTCCTATTGACCACCAATGTAAGGGAGCATCCTTCCTATTGACCACCAATGTAAGGGAGCATCCTTCCTATTGACCACCAATGTAAGGGAGCATCCTTCCTATTGACCACCAATGCAAGGGGGGCATCCTTCCTATTGACCAATGCAAGGGGGGCATCCTTTCTATTGACCAATGCAAGGGGGGCATCCTTCCTATTGACCACCAATGTAAGGGGGCATCACTCATATTGACAACACCAATGTAAGGGGGGCATCCTTCCCATTGATCACCAATGTAAGGAGCATTATTTCCACTTACCATCAATGTAAGACACTTTCCCACTGGCCATCAATGTAAGCGGTCATTCTTCTAGCTAACAACTGATGTTTCTTCCCTCCACCAATCAAGGGGGGGGGGGGGGGGCTTCCTCTTTA